CGAAAATAAGAGATTCTTTAAAAAAAAATCTTTCTCGGAAACTATTGCACGTGCGAGGTTCAGTAACAAATGAAATAGGGAATTTTATCAGCTTTATTTTCGAATGAACGTTAATTTCCGTACAACGAATAGTTTCTGAGATATTTGCAAAAAATCAATTTTATGCGACATTTTTTTCAAGATGGCGCATGCCTTCACACATAGGGACTTTTGATATGATAAAAAGTACATTATTACATACCTCTATACAAAAAATCCAGCTTTGAAGCAATTTTTTTTTTCCTTCATATCGCCAAAAATCGTCTAATTTTCCTGGGCTATATTTATTTATTTTAAATATATTGAAAAGAGATTTACGTTACATTTATTTAACATTTATTATTAAATGTTTATTTTACATTAATTATTCGTTTGAAATAAAGGTTTAAAGAAATATTTATTTAATGTCTATATACTCTATTAAATGTTTTTTAAACGTTTATTAGTAATTAATTTTACGTTTTATAATTTGTTTTCAAAATAATATTTTTTAAACATTTATATAACGTTTATTAAATGTTTGTTTTTGTTATTTATTTATTAAAAATATGATTAAACATTCTTTAAATATGATAAAATATTTAACGTTTATTTGACGTTTAGTATAAATATGTAAAAAATGTTATTATTTTGTAAAACTCAAATTAATAAAAAACACGTCGGAATATAAATAACAATAAATAAAGGGCAAAGTAAGAATCAACACATTTCTTTAAAAAAGTTATACAATTAAAAGAATAAATTATAGATAGACAAAAGTAAAATATATAGGAAAAAATAAATAAACAATAATAAAAACTCAGTTTAAATATAAATATTCATTACAAGTTTCGGCTACCGGATTGAGCCCTCTTCAGACAATAACTTATCCAAAAAATCGCAGTACAAATTAATTATCGTAAATGTTCGCATATTCACAGTTCGGGTGAGGGTTGATATAAATAGAACTCGACATTATTCACGTACGATTGAATAGTCAAATGTGTTTCATATCTCTTGGAAAAGTTCTAGTTGATAAAAAAAAGGGTCGGAATAATAAAATAATTACGGAAGAGAAGTTATTATAATCACTGCGTTGAGCAGACTCAATAGTTGAGTGAGCGCTTACTGTTATTGGTGCATTCTTTTAGATCAGTGTTCGACATTCGATGCACATTTCGGACCGATTCCGGCTCGACCCCACTGTCTTCATGGGTTAAAAATATTTCAGGTAGACACTATCTATCTAGGCTGCAACTTCTAGGCGGTTAGGCCCCAAACGGGTAGGATATGATATTTGTTTTATGCGTAATCGCTTCGAATCAATAAACTGCTGTCTATACACCCCTCATGACAGATTTCTTAATAGTTGTTAACTTTAATGCTCAATATCTCGGTTCGCAGGGCCGCAGTCCCGGACTCTTTCTACCAGATTCTTACATTTTACGCAAAAATACGTTGAATGACCCTAATTTCATCGAAATCGGAGGTAGCTCTTCTGAAGAATTACCCTCATTTTGTCTCTGTGACAGATTTTCTAATATTCAATAGTTATCAACTTTAACGCTTAATATCTCGAATCACAGGGCAGAGCGACGTTTTTTTTTTCAGATTCTTTTATTTTGTGAAAAAACGCATCAAATAAGTCTAATTTTATTGATTTTTTGAAGTATGCTAAACTGTATAATTACCAACATAATATAATACTTAAGAGCAGTAAATGATAAATGCACAATATTTATATTAAAAATAGATGAAAAATTTAAGAACCAAACAAAAAATGATGTAAAGCAAATCCGTTACTATTGGATGAGCGCTCGATGCTGTTGGATGATCTAAAAGAATACACCAATAAGCAGCAAGTGCTCACGGATCCGCTCCGCAACGATTGAGTCTACTTGTCTACTGAACGCGACCAATGCTCCATCCATCCATACTTATTTAGATCTATTTTACTTATAGGTATATTTTCTAACTGAATCATATATGTAATACTCCTATATTGCTAACGCAGCCTCTTTTTAGGAGTGGGAAGTGTGCGAAGACAAAGAGATAGATCTAATTTACATCGTGCACACACTTGATATACGTACTAACTAGTAGTAATTTTCTATTAAATTATTTTAATTTCAGCAATGTATTTAAAGAATGATGTACTAAATTGGTACAAATTGGTACTAATTGGTACATATACATCATAATTAATTAAATACATATATCATGTATATGTCAACATATCGCCGAAATTAAGATCATTCAATAAAAAGTTACTAGTTAGTACTTGTATCAAGTGCATGATGTAAACTAGACCATAGAGAATAATCAGACTTCTCACTTCCATACATGCAGATAAGGTTGGTTAAAAATGCGCGTATGCGTATTGAAGGTTTCAAGTACATTATCTAAGGCGTTCAGATTCCTCATTCGAATGCACCCAGACATCCAAAAAGCATTCAGATTCCTTTTGAGTGCCTTTATTGGACGTTTATATGGAACGTTCAGATTCCTATTCTATCCACCGGGGAGGATAGAAAAACTACCCGATTTCTTGAGCCAGATGGAATGGATGGTAATGGCGCATTAAAGACTGCTTGTGCTATCCCAGCATGTTTGACGTGCATCTATACGAAAATTTAAATTTTTGGTTATGCCCCCCTGTTATAAACAGTAGTAGTATAAACTGTAACTTAAAGGAGACCAAGTATTTAATTATCTATTAAGTTTTACAGGTCGAAATTTAAGATATTGATAAGATATTTATTTTATATCTTTTATTATTATTATTATATATATTTTAGTTATATATAATTATATTAATTATATATGTAATTTATATTAAATCTGATATATTTATGTTACTGTTTGCTGTAACCGATGTATGTAGGACACTCCCTTATCTTAGAGTGTGTTCAGATTCTTAACCACTCCGGTACTTTTCGCTAGGCTCCGCCCAGTCATTCAGCGATCACCCATCCAGTAAGGAATCTAAACACAGCCTTAAGCGAGAGGTAAATATTGGGTTGGTATTTATAGTTTTATTTCAAGATTGTTTTAAGTAACGTCTTAAGATGCTAATACGGCCCTCTGATTGATTGTGACTTCTTAAGAGTTCTCTACATAAAACTAGAAAAACAACCAATTACAATAAAATATAAGAAGAATACTCGATTAGAATTGATCAGTTTCCTACTCCTAGATTTAAGACTCCACAACCGTCTACGACTTCTATGTAGAGGATTCTTTAAGACTGTACTTAAGACAGCCTTGAATATAAGATCTGACTATGAATACGGGCCATTGTCTGTACAGATATTGTCAGTTCTTAAAGGCCTTTTTATGGGACTGAAAAGCAATCAAACGTCACGTGACTGTTTTTCTGTGCCGCTGCCACAGTATTAGGGCCATTCCACACAAACTTGCATAGCGGCATAAACATATGCATAAAGGAAATCATCCAATCGTATTTTACGTTTACCTTTATGACAGAAATGTGATTGGATAATTTTTGTTATGCATATGGTTATGCGACTATGCAAATTTGTGTGGAATGGCCTTAAGCCGGGAGCACATAGAAAAACGTAAGATCATAATTAGTAAGGATATCGTAAGATTGGATTCGCTACTGGCCTTACGGTCTCTACCGTGATTGGGCAATTCGCTTACTGATTACGTCTTATGGCCTTATATTTTTGTATGTGCCATGGACTTTACAGTAGCACAGCTCTCTGTCGGCACTTTTGATATTAGTGTTGGCTAAAATGGAGTGCGCATGCGCGAAATAAGTAAATACTCCCTAGTAACGCCATCTAAATTTCTTTTTCAGTTGCTCTTTATTTTTTCGATCTCTCTCTCTCTCTCTCTCTCTCTCTCTCTCTGTCTCTTCAAGTCGTTTGTACGTACATCAAATTAATCTAAATGTAATATAAATAAAAGAAATAAATTCATAATTGTAATGCATTGCAAAACAAAAACAAAAAATAAAAATAAGAACGTATAAAATTATATAAATGTTGTATGATATAAATATTATGCTGTATCAAATATTTTAATTAACGATTGGCAGATGATGCTTGTTTATTTTTGAAACTTAAAGTAAGAAAGGTATTAATATTTGTTGAAAGCGAGAAAGAGAGTTCTAGCACAGTATATACAGTCGCGCAACTCTCTGTCGGCACCTTTGATGTTAGTGTTGGCCAAAATGGAGTGCGCATACGTGAAATAAGTAAGTTATCTAGCGTTGCCACGGTTACCACCCAAACTTCTTTCTCTTTTCATCCTTTTTTTACTCTGTCAAAATTCTTCACAAAACTCACTAGATTTATTCGCATCGTAATCCAACGAATTCGTTAAAGTGAGTAAGTGCTATTGTAGGAACATATTAGAGCATATTAGAGCATGCGACGCGAATAAACCTAATATTGCGATGAAATAATTTAAACTTTATAAAAATTAATAAAAATAAATTGTAAATATATTGACAAATAAAGAAAAAATATAGAAAAATTAGGAAAAATATTAAATTAACTTAAAAATGTTTGTTTGTATAAAGAAATATTATGTAATTATATATTTATGAAAATGTTATGAGAAAGCTGATATAAAAGAAATTTATACATATATGTCCGAAAAATAAGTTTAAAATATAATAAATAAAAAGAAATCTTTTTTGTTCGATTTTCTTATTATTATTTTTTGTTCACTTTTTTACTTTATCACTTTTTCACAAAAATTAGATCTCTCGAGATTTTTCACACAACATTTCACCAAATGGACAATACACGTAATACTTTCCTCTAAATTTCTATTCTGAATCATGTATGCTTGAAAGACAAATGTTTAAGTGGAACATTGAAACGCTTATTTAAATAGAGAGAGAAAAAAAAAGAGAAAGAACAACAAAAAAAGGAAGAAGAGAGACGGAGCAACTTACTTATTTCACGCATGTGCACTCCATTTTGGCCAACATAGAATCAGAAGAGTTGCACTACTGTATATACTGTGGTTCTAGTGCAGTTTATTGCAAGAACAGAAAACAGATCTTTTATGTTTACCACAGATTATGGAAATGATTACATGTTTATAACGCATTAAACACTTAATTAACATTAAAATAAATGAAAACAGCGAATTGATTATGGAAACACAGCCGTTGAAAGTGCCCGAAACATCTCCACCGCCATATGTTAATTCTGTCGCAACAGCTCCAGCAGGTGCGTCATGATTTTTAGGTTAAATTGTACAGTCTAGAAATGCTCTTCTTTCCTTTCTGCAACTACGCGTAAATAATTGTCGATTTCATTTGGTTGGCGCCAATTTTCCATTCTCGAAACTAATAACTCACGCAATAACAAAATAAGGGAAAATAAGGGTACAAATTTCTGCTCGGTAATTCCTAAAGAAAGAATAAATTATATTTATTCCTTCTTACATGAAATTGACAAGAATGTTTGTACGTTTCTCAGTTTAATTAGAGCCATTATTAGCGATTCAAATCTCAAAATCTTCAATTAGACACACCTTAGCGTTCGGAAATATCACTCGGATGTCCTCGTGTATTATCTTACCCTTATTTAACATTGAGTAAATAATAAGGAGGAAATGATACATAAGGGCATTCGGGAGATGTTTCCGAACGCAGCCCTAGTAGTAGAGAACGATGACTGTTTCTGTCAGATTCAATTGTTTTGTGCAAAGACACGTCGAATGAGTCTAGTTTTATCAATATATACTTGAAAGAAGCAAAACGCAACAATTATCGAATTTAAATTAAATATTGTTTTTAAACATTAATATTATTAGGAATATATTTTTCTAGTATAATTTCTAATACTGAAAATCCATAGTACATATATAATCCATCGGAAAAGACATTGAAAATGTAAAAAAAGACGCGTCAAGTTATAATATATTATCTTTACGCAAAACCATTTTGTAGATATATTGTAAACATAATAAAAAGAATAAAAAATAATATCACAAAAAAGAAATAAAATTAAAATTCAATGTTTTTACGCAAATATTTTAAAACAAAGATGTTTAAAAACATAAAAAACCAAAAATAACATGAAATAAAATCAAAATAGGTAATATTTTAAGTATATTTATTAAAATAAGTTCCACGGAATATACAGTTCTCCGAGCGGTGTCTTGAGGACGTCCTTGTTATGATGTAGCATCCCTTGAAAATCCTTTAGGATTATGTTGTATGGGATAAATTCTTACACTTATAATAGATTTAATACCGAATATGGAAGACATTTAAAATGTATAAAGTATAACAACATATTAAATTGAGAAAACGATATGTAATAGATAGCATAATGAGGCGCAGAAATTGAAAAAGTTTTACGTCGACAACAGGAAGAAAATTATAGAGACAAAAAATCGAAAACGAGTGAAATCTCCAGCAGCAGCATATTTGACGCGTCCATTTTGTTCATAATTTGATTCATGCAAATAATTCACTAAATATTGTATTAATTATAAACTATTTTTCGCAAATTAAAGAAATTTATGTATATTTAAATTATTATTAATTTTAAACATATACAATATGAATACAATATTATATTGTACTTAGATGCAAAATAGCATGCCATATATTAAAATATGTTTCTTTAGCAATGTTAATATCATTACCGCATTTGGTATGAATGATTGTATTTATTAACACACCTAGTATGAAAAAAACGACTAGTCATTCGTGCAAGATCTATGTATGTATATATTTATATTATCTATGTATCTATATATATAGTATATACTATATATATGTATTTATATTAATAAATTTTAATAAAAACCAAGACTGTCATACAGCCAATAAATAAGAAAGGTAAGTGATTGGTCTTTAGAGTCAAACGCAGCTGTTGATGCATAGAGTATCCACTAAAGTATTTAAATATTATTAATCAAAAAATTATATATTGATATCGTAAAGGCGGATGTTTCGATTCAGTTTCGAGCCATCTTCAACGTCAGGATTAAAAATTCGTGTATTAACTTCATCACACTCTCCATCACAAGAATGGAACTTGGTGAATCTTCCAAGACATACCATTCTCAACAATAAAAATCTTATTGGACTGTACATTTGTAAACTCAACAAATAGAAAAATAATGGCCGTAATGGTCAGAGCTAGATCTTTTTTATGCTTAAATAATTCAATATGAATTACTTATATACTATATATGCATATATACTATATATGCATATATACTATATATGCATATATACTATATTTGTAATGATTCGAACTGTGCACCGAATTGCTTTTTCGGAAATGAATACAATTAAACTACTAATGATTCGAACTGTGCACCGAATTGCTTTTTCGGCTTATGAATACAATTAAACTACTAGTAATATTACGTAGTAATATCACGAATTAAATTGATAAGCAATTTTTAATAATTTGATGCTCAATCAAGCATTCTAGAAAGATGTTGATGTGCTAAAAAAACTGTAAATAAATTTATTGCGAAAAATATTCGGCCGAGAGTCGTACTATTCACAAAGTAAGAACAGCGAGAAAACCAATTGGCACATTGCAATAAATTTCAATCGATTATTGAGATTAACATCCGCTTTTTCAAATAAGAAAAAAAGCAGAGAAGGAAAAAGAAGGGAAAGTGACATTGATTCACTTGTAAATATTAATATTATCTCATACTATATATTTATAAAATAAATAATATTAAGTAAAGGGCAAAGTAAGAGTCGATACATTTCTTTAAAAATTAACAGAAGAATATATTACAATTAACAAGAGGTAAAATTACATAAAGCAAGAATAAAATTAGAAATAAGAAAATAATAATAAAAAGTTACAAGTTTCGGCTACCGGATTGAGCCCTCTTTAGACATTAACATAACGAAAAAATCGTAGTACAGAATCAATTATCCCAAATGATCGCATATTCATTACATTCACAGTTCGGGTGAGTCTTAATGTAGAGTTCGACATTATTTCCGTACGATTGAACAGTCAAATGTATTAAAAATATCTTGGCAAAGCTCTAGTTGATAAAAAAAATAAAATAACTTACAAAAAAAATATACATGTAAATAAATTAACATACCGGAAATCTAATAAAAAATAAAAACTCACCAGAAATCATATGTAAAATATTCAAACGAGCATGTCCATAAAAGAATAAAAAACTTTTGGAATATATACAGAAAGAAGGAACGCAGATGTGTAAAATAGACATTAGGTGTCGATTATTATGTACGGTAGTGCGGATCACCACAGACTGATAGAAGAGATGGACTGTTATTACCAAAAAGTCAAACTTTATTTATGATGGGAATATAAGCCTTGTGAAGATACCTTCAGTATCAGTTTGTAAATTAAGACCAATTTTTTGTTATCGGACTTTAGGTTTCATACACAGAAGTTGACACAGAGTTCATTATTAACATTTTATTAGACAATGACTATCCACTGATCTTTATTTTTGATACAGTCAATCAACGTATAAAAAATTTAATTAAAAATAGACACATAACACATAAAGTTCTGGCTGACAATATCTGTGCGAATGAATCTGCTTCTTGGCTTGACGGTACCATTTATCCCTTTCCATACGGAAAAGTTCAAACGTTTCAATAAAAACGACATCAGGGTAGCTTTCCATAGTCTCAATAAATTGGGCAAATACATTAAAGTATAGAAGGATATTTGTCCACATACATCGAAGAGCAATGTGGTCTTTAAGATTTCGTGTAATAATTGCGATGCGTCATACGTTGGACAGACGGGCGGACAATTAAAAATACATTTGACTGTTCAATTGTACAGAAATCATGTCGAACTCTACATCAAGACTCACCCGAACTGTGAATGTAATGAATATGCGATCATTTGCGATAATTGATTTTGTACTACGATTTTTTTGTTATGTTAATGTCTGAAGAGAGCTCAATCCGGTAACCGAAACTTGTAATTATTTTTTTCTTATTTCTAATTTTATTTTTGCAATGTAATTTTATCTCTTGTTAATTGTAATATACTCTTCGGTTAATTTTTAAAGAAATGTGTCGACTTTTACTTTGCCCTTTACTTATTATTATTTATTTTGTATAGAAGAGTCCTTAGATTTGTCATTTATATATTTATAATAAATCATTATCACTAGTGAATTCATCACAATGGCAACCACCTCCCGGATACTATCCTAACAACATTGATTCTGGCTATCAACCTGGTTATCAAGGAAGCCATATTCCATCATATGGCTCTACACATTCCACTGCAATCATTGTTCCAGAAATTATTGTAGTTGGCGGCTGTCCAGCATGTAGAGTATGCAAATTTTTTATTCAAATATTGCTGTTTTGGTTATGCTTAAATGGAAAGTTAATAACATTTAAACCTAAAACAGATAGGAATAATGGAAGATGATTATACATGTCTTGGCTTATTTTGTGCGATTTTTTTCTTTCCTGTCGGAATTATCTGTTGTCTGCTATTAAGAACAAAACGCTGTTCAAATTGTGGAGCTTATTTTGATTAATTAAAAGTAAGTATTTCCTACACTTATAAAAACAATATTATGTCATGAAAATTTAAAACAAGATATAAATGTTTAACAATCACTAATGTTAAGAATGATAAGCAATTGATATTTGGTCAGAATAAAATATTCTTATAGCTAAACAAGTTAATATATGAGTTAATATAAAATAAATTTGAAGTTAAAGAGTAAAAAACTTTAAATTAAAACAATCTTATCAGTACGTAAACAAACATTTCAATCTTTATTAAACTCTTTTTAATGTTTAAAACAAATTCATCTATATATAATTTTTCAATTCCAATACATGCTAATTGTCAAATAAAACTATTGGAAATTTGTCGAATTCTTGTAATATAGTATCTACTAACAACTAATGGCGAATTCGATTGGAAGCACTAGTGCACACTTAAAGCTGTTGTATACTGATTTAATTTGAGTATAAAAGAGAAATATAAATATTTCGAATTATAAAATACATATTTTACCTAATAGTATAATAAAGTGTATAGAGTATTTCAGGATTTAATCAATTTCTATATTTATGTATAAATATATCTTTACATTATTTTATGTACGACGGCTTTAATGTGCATCAGTGCGCACTGAGTGCGTCCAATCGAATTCGCTATAAGTAAACATCTTAATAAGCAATTTACTCAATAATCTTATTAATTTGTAATTAAACGTTCTAACTTGTTCTGTTTTAGTTGAATTATCGCATGGTCTCAAAGCCCTAAAAGCTGGTTAAAATATGAGTGTTTTTCAATTTAGTTACGAAATTTGATATCTATAATGGTTTTCGAGATCACTGATTACGATCGAATTCGAAATCAAATTGCAAAGGAGGAAATGGATTTATTTAATGTAGCCAACGTATGTAGAAGAAATATTTGATGTAAATTAAAATTTATATCCTGTTCTATTTTTAAATAAGCGGTAATAAAATTCGAAATAAAAATAAAGATTTTTAATAAGTAACAATTTTTAATAATTTAAAATAATTTTTATTGCATCCTGTGAAATTATTGTTAAAACTTCGTTCTAAAGTTGTACAATAATTTTTGCATAACTGGTTTCACATCTGATAATGTAATGCCCGTATCAGACTACAGATTAATGATTACGATTGACGATTGCCCGGTTCTACTTCAACTGATCATAACGTAACGAGCCCATTATAATTGATTGAAATAGAATCAGGCAACCTTCAATCGTAGTCGTCAATCCATAATCTGATACGGGCATAAAGAATATTATAATTTATTGGACATCAACTTTTCATATGTATATATGTATACAGAGTGTTCTAAAAGTAACGATAGTTTTTGTACAGGGATAGAATGGAATAAACTGAGAAGAAAAGTCCTCTACCATTTTGCAATTTTCATAACAGTTAACAAGATATTAATTGCTAATAATTGCCAAAAATTGGTCTTTAATAATTTTTTTACTCAAATACTATCAATTTTTTACAGAAAAACTGCAAAAGACAAAATTGTTTATTTCCTTCTCATAAAGCTCTAAGATTTTTTTTCAGAATTTTATCAACTCCTTATTTTTTTTTATCAACTAGAACTTTTCCAAGAGATATGATACACTTTTGACTGTTCAATCGTACGTGAATAATGTCGAGTTCTACATCAAGACTCACCCGAATTGTGAATATAATAAAAATGCGAACATTTGCGATAATTATTTTGTACCACGGTTTTTTCGATATGTTTAATGTCTGAAGAGGGCTCAATCCAGGGTAGCCAAAACTTGTAATTTGTATTTAAACTGAGTTTTTATTTATTATCTTATTTTTCATTTTTTATTTTTTATTATATATTTTCTTCAATTTTATTTTTCTTTATTTGTAATTTATTCTTTTAATTAGATGACTTGTTTTTTAAAGAAATGTGTTGACTCTTACTTTACCCTTTATTTATTGTTATTTACTTCTTATTTTTACCAACATAAGAAAATACGGTATTAAAAAATTCTGAAAAAAATTCTAAAAAAATTCTTACAGCTTTTAAATTATAGTTATTTAATGAATGAGTGATAATAATATACCACTGATAATGACGCTATTACATCAATAAGGTAATAAATAAAAAAAAATATATATATATATATCTTATTTTAAAGTTATTTATAAATTATGTAAATTATACATATATGATTACTAACTAAATAAATTACACTTATCGTTTCAATATTATAGATAATTCTGAAATATTGTTCTGGCATCAATATAATAAATCAAGAACATATGTATCAATATTTATTATAAGACGATTGAATGCATAATGTAATCACTATATCACTTACCATGTTTTGACCCGTAATATTTTATCCCATTTTTTGTCGAACATCTGGCATACTTTGTTAAAAGTGCATTAACATTCGTTATACCTTTTGTAAAACGACTAAAAGAAATAATTATATAAGATTTAAATTAATAATACCTTTGTATTTTTATTTACTTACATAATATAAGGTGTTATCTCTTCAACAGTCCATTTAGCTTTAATTTCAAAAAGTTCATGAAGTCTATCGTGAATGTTGTTGGGTAAGTCTGCCTCTGGACAAGATATGACTTCTTTCTGTCCTTTTGAAGTATTATACATTATAAGGGCTGATCCATGTAAATATTCTTCTCTTGGCTGCATTTCTGAAACATAAAAAAATTATAAGTTCAAAAAACTATATCATTACCATTTCAATTACGTACTTTCAGGAGTTCCAATGTTCCACGTTTTCATGAATTCTTTATATTCGGTAACAGGAGAAGTAGCAAGAAGAACTTTTGCTATCACTGCACAGCATTTTTCTTCGTCAAACCTTCTCAAGACATTACATTTAAAAGACATTCTTCCTTATAAAATTTTCACATTAATTGCTATAAAATATGTTAATAATGTATATACCTATATAATGGACTTCCGTCATCTTTTGTCTTTGTGCTTACTTTTGTATACCTTTGGAATATAACATCAAATACTGGTTCATAAATAAGTTCCTTTAAAAATTCATAAGTATTCTCTTTATCTACTTCATCGAGTTCCCAAGATTGTCTTTCAAAATAATCCAATATCAGATCTAAGCTTCTTGCTTCTATGTCAAATGATATGAGACGCAAATAACCTTAATGTAAAAAGGTTTTTAAATTAGATGATATCATGTATATATTTGTAATAAATGTGGTCTAATAGAGATTTTTTATTACAAACCATCTATTTCAGCTATTAAGAAATCCGATAGAGCCTGTTTTAACTCTTGATCACTAGCTTGTAGCTCATTTTGTAATCTTTCCCAACTGTATAATATATTTCGATCTATAGTAGATTCATATTCCAATCCATTGAAAGAAGAAGATTTAAGCAGACTCGATAAACGTATCAGATCAGGTTTGGTTTCTTTCACCTTGAACACAAAAGATTATTAATTTTTTTTCTACAATTCAACATTTTACTTACTATTCAAATATTATAAAATACTACAAGCACCTCGTAGTATAAGTTAAATATCTTCTTTACATTATGTTTTTCTATAGTTCTTTCTGTAACTTCTTCGATATCTGTTGTCTTACCCAGCTTTAGGTTTGGTACCAACAACCATGAATTGGATATCTCTGCCTCTCTGACCTCATAGGTACAAGTTTGTGTACATAGCATAGCATTGTCATGTTTATTACCACGAAATGATATTCTACAGAGTTATAAAATTATATTATTTATAATTACTTTACAGAATAAGAATTGCAATATTAATGTTTTCAAAGAGAATCTCAACTTTCAAGGATCTATTTTATAAAACGAAAATCACAAAAATTTGAAAAAGACATACGCATCTCCCTGATTTAATCCCTTTAATATATCCTCGTCTACTTCCAATAATATCATATCATTGGCTTGATGATCTTGCATGGAATATAGACATTGTGTCATGGTATTTAAATCAGATTCTTTAATCCCAGCCAATTCCAAGATCTCGCGAACATTTTCCTTGACGCGAACGTTCCTTAACAAGAAGAAACATTGTAAAATTGATATTAAAAAAATATATATAAAATTCGTTTAACAATAATCACCGTTTATCGGCTGATTTCGTCAACAGACCGGTAGACTCCATAACAAGTTCAGGTAATTATGAAGGAGACGGACTTTTACATAAAAGTCAATGAAATTAGGCTTATTCGACGTTTTTTGCATAAAATGAAAGAATCTAGCAGAAAAAAAGCGGCGCTCTGTCCTGTGAATCGAGATATTAATTTTTCAGGTTAAAGTTGACAACTACTCAGGTTAGGAATCTGTCACAGCCACGCACTTCAAAGACCAATGAGCGCATTTGTGAAAGTAGTCAATAATAGGATTTCAAAATTGATTCGGATTTAAAGCTATGCGGATATTTGTTTATCCGAATTACGAATAAATGTGATGCTTCAAATTCGGATTATCCGGAGATTCGAATTTTCAAGGATATCTGAATCTCGATCCGAATAGTAAAAGTCGAATCCGATTCTCAGATTCGGTTCTGGATTCGTAGCGAACTTATAGCGAATCAGTGATGGGAGATGACAAGAATTCGTCTGCTCTAGGAAACTTTGTGCGCATTCGTAAAGCTGAGCAGCCTTAACTGACGTACACATTTCATGGTATTATAAGATCCCTAATAACGATGTTAAGAAAGTTGTACGGAGAAAAGGAAGGTTTTTATTAAAGATATATAGTGTGTTCATAATAATAAATTTGTGTGAATAATAATAAATTTTGTTTTTTATTACGTTTGCAATCAATTTATCATATGAATACCAACATTTGTTGCAAAGGATAAGGGAAACTGCAGAAAACCTTACCAGTATTCTTACAAAAAAATTATACGCAATAAAAAACGTAATTACAATATTGAATTAATATAGTAAATAATACAATAATATAATACAATAAAAATAAAATATATAATAACGTGTTAATAACATAAAATAAAACATATTGTACTTATAACATGTATAAATACAAATTGTATTATATTTTAATTTATACTATAATTTTAAAAACGCG